CCCTGCTAGGGACTGATCCCACAATCTGGGCATGTGCCCTTGACTGGAATCGAACCCAGGACCCTTCAGTCCACAGGCCAATGCTCTATCCACTGAGCCAAACCAGCTAGGGCTAAAAAAAAATTTTCAATTATACAGAAGTGATGGTATTAATATGTGTGCTAAAATAATGTCATATTTGGTAACAGTGACAGTAAATTACCTAGATACCATTTGATACCATTTCTGCTTTAGAGCTTTTTATTTTCTAAACATTCTTTTTTTCTCCATTTACTCCTATGAACAATCCCTTCAAGCCTTCTCTGGCACATGGGCTGCCCCTTGGGCCTCCCCCATGCTTTCATTGATCTAGTTCAAGCTGCTTCTTTGGCTCTGGGCTGGGCTGTCCTTCAGTCCTTTGCATAAACTGCTACTGGCACCTCCTGGTCACGGCTCAAACCACAGCCTTGGAGCCTATACTCAGGCTGAAGTCCACCCGCCACGCGGCTCAATGCTCGGTGCTGCTCCCAACTTATACCTACGTGTGCACCTTCCTCTGCAGAGAGGGAACAGCTACCCTTCCTCAGGGGTCACCTCTTTTAGGAGGTCCCCCGCTGAGGCCTAAGCTGCAGCTCCTGTCACCTTACAGGCTCTGGGTAGGTCCCACCGCACCTCGACACTCATCTCCATGGCCCTTCGGACCTGAGCGGAGTCTTTCCCCAGACACCCCAGGTGGTTCCCATCAAACGGCCCTGTCGTCCCTCCGTACTGTCCTCCAGGTGCTCTCACCACCGCCGCCCATTAGGCCCCGTCACTGACAGGATGTTCGTCCCTCCCAGGCGTCCTCTCAAGTCCTTACCCGTCAGTGTGACCAGGCATCCTCGGAGGCGGAGAGGAGAGGATGCGGAACCCCGGCCCTGGCTCAGCCAGGACACCTTGTTCTATAAAACACCTAATTTTTTTACCCACTATAAAAATAATCAGTGATCGCAGTAATTCAGGACAAGCATCTAAGAACATAAACACCTAGAGGGAGCCTGTTCTGACTCAGTGGAAACAGTCTGTATGTGATACTGGATCTCCTCTATTATATATATTTAGAAAACAACGATTCTGTCACTTCTCTTGCCTAAAGTGCCTAGAAACTCTTTACTTTGGCATTCTCATGACTGCTAGGCAGAGCCTAGAGCGGACGGCAGCTGCCAGGGAGTGTGACACATGGGGGGCTGGGTGACCACAGAGGGGGCACACTCAAGTGTGGGCAAGAGTGAGTGCCCTCAAAGAGATGGCTACGCTCTGGCCCCAGGATAAGATGGAATTCCCCGAGAGAGCCGGGGTGGTGGGGCGGAGTGTCCAGACGGCACCCACAGCACCAGCAGAGGTTCAGAGAGGAAGGGAAGCAGGTGCGCACGCTGGAAGCTGAAGGCGGGCTGCACACTCAGGCCCACGTGTAGGCCAGCCGGCAAGGAGCAGAGCCGCCGCATGGAAGGGAACAGGGAGAGCTGCGGACCGTGCACATTGCAGAGCCGGTGCTGGTCTGCACTGCTTTGCAGATGATTAGGGCACACAGTGAGGTGACTTGTCCAAGCGCACACAGTGCGCGCAGCACCAGGCACTGGGCCTGCGCAGTCTGGCACCAGGCTGGGCATGGAAGGGGGAAGAAAGGCAAAAGGGGAAGGCAGGGCAGGGCTGGGCTGGGCAGCGGTGGCTTCCTGAGACCCCGCCCTCCTCTCCCTAGCTGAGCAGCTCACTGTGGTGGGGAAGATCTCCTTTAACCCCAAGGATGTGCTGGGCCGCGGGGCAGGCGGGACTTTCGTTTTCCGGTGAGTGGCAGCCGGGAGCCAGGCTGGAGACGTGGCTCTCACAGCCCTTCCCGCATCGTCCCTTGGAGAGCTGTCCTACCCTTGGCCCTCTCTGAACCTCCATTCCCCACCTACCAGGGGACAGTTTGAGGGGCGGGCAGTGGCTGTCAAGCGACTCCTTCGTGAATGCTTTGGCCTGGTGCAGCGGGAGGTCCAGCTCCTGCAAGAGTCAGACCGGCACCCCAACGTGCTCCGCTACTTCTGTACAGAGCGGGGACCCCAGTTCTACTACATCGCCCTGGAGCTCTGCCCTGCCTCCTTGCAGGAGGTGAGGCTGGGGCGCAGGGCGGTGTGGGTGAGGGCTGGAGGGCCCTGGGCTGCAGTGACCTTGCCCTTGCTGCTCCTCAGTACGTGGAAAACCCAGAGCTGGACTGCTGGGGCCTGGAGCCGGGGACAGCGCTGCAGCACCTCATGTCTGGCCTGGCCCACCTGCATTCTCTACACATAGGTACCCACCCACCCCTCGCTCCCCATCTCCCACCCTGCCTTCCCCCCCTGCGCTCAGCTGCCTCCCGCTCTCACAGTGCACCGGGACCTGAAGCCAACCAACGTGCTCATCACGGGGCCCGAGGGCCAGGGCCGAGGCAGGGTGGTCCTCTCCGACTTCGGCCTGTGCAAGAAGCTGGCAGCCGGCCGCCGTAGCTTCAGCCTGCGCTCAGGCGTCCCCGGCACAGAGGGCTGGATGGCACCTGAGCTCCTGCAGCTCCCGCCCCCCGACAGCCCGGTGAGTCCTCCATCACCTGGCCCAGGGCCTCCTGCCCAGGCTGCACATCCCACTGTGTGAGCTGGAACTTGCTCCTTCATGGTAAAGTGGGCTCATTCATCCTTTCCTACCTAGAGCAGTGATTCTCAACCAGGGACTATTCCACCACCCAGGGGGCCCTGGGTAATGTCTGGAGATATTTTTGGTGACCACACGTGGTGGGTAGGGGGGTGTTACTGGCATCTGGTGGGTAAAGACCAAGGATGCTGCTAAATATCCTTTGACCGCGCCCCATAAAAGTTATCAGGCCCAAAGTGTCAATAGTGCCGAGGTTAAGAACCCTGGGCTAAAATGGCTTCACCTCTTCACTGTGGGCAGAATCACCGGGCAACTAAAAAGGTCAGCTGCCAGGCCCATCTCCAGTGAGCCCAGCCCGATCCGCTGGGGCAAGGCCAGGGTCTTCAATGCAGCAGCGCAGAGAAGCGCTGGGTGGAGGGCTGGGAACGTCAGATGAGCGAATAGTGGAAGCAGTGTCTGACCCTAGAGACATGTAAGTTTGGGGCCCCAGATTTGTGTGTGTGGAAGTGACAGTCATGGGCATAGATGACAGTGGCACAAAAGGACAGTCGCTGGGCAAAGCTGCTCCCATGCCTGACGCCTGACGTCTAGAGAAAGCTAGAAGGGGCGCCTGCAGGCCCAAGGACAAAGGCACGGCTAGGAGCCTGTCAGGTCCTTTTGCTTTTTAATTAGTGGCCAACGTTTTCACTTTGGGGAAGTTGCACATAAACCTCTGGAGTTCTGGAGCCTCTTGGGAAGTGAAAGCTGTGCCTCCCGAGTGCCCTGGGGGCAACCAGCAGAGCTTAGTGCCAGGCGGCTGTGGACAGGCCCCCCCATCTGTCCTCACCGCTGCCTCCTGCCACACGCCTGGCGGCTTCCCTTCCTGATGCTCCCTGCTACATGTGCGGGAATGGCGCCCGGAAACCCAAGCTAGAAGCTCAGTAGGGGCAAAGATTGGGGTGAAGACCATGGGCCTTCAAGGGTGCAGAGGGGAGGGACCTAGGGATAAGGGGCTGCCTCTCAGAGGCATCCCTGAGTTCTTCTCTGAGCCAGACACCCCTGGGAGAGGTTAGCCCCGCAGACTCCGGGCGGACTTCCTCCTCACGCCCCTTCCTCCGGCCAGACCAGCGCGGTGGACATCTTCTCTGCAGGCTGCGTGTTCTACTACGTGCTTTCCAGCGGCAGCCACCCCTTCGGAGAGAGTCTTTATCGCCAGGCAAACATCCTTGCAGGCGCTCCCTGTCTGGCTCACCTGGAGGAAGAGGCCCATGGTGAGAGGGCCTGACCCAGCAAAGAAGGGAGGAAGCAGTGCATGAGGCTGGGGACCTAAAGCCACCCCTCTCCCCGCAGACAAGGTGGCTGCCCGAAGCCTGGTGGCGGCCATGCTGAGCCCTCGGCCGCAGGCGCGCCCCTCTGCTCAGCAGGTGCTGGCCCACCCCTTCTTCTGGAGCAGAGCCAAGCAGCTCCAGTTCTTCCAGGTCAGGGGGACCTCGGGACGGACAGGGTAGCAAGTCCCAAGTGTGGGTCCTGAGCAACAGGAAAGGGGAGACCAGATTGGCTAAGAGAAAAGGGACTTATCTACCTGCACTAGGCAGCCCGGCTCCTTGCCTAAACCAAGACGGAGCAGACTCCTAACCGTTGCCATCTTGGTGCTCCAGTCCACTCGTCACCTCCCCCCACATCTCCCCACCAGGCCACTCGTGCTCAACCTGTGCCCAGGTAGCCCATTCCATCGGCAAGACCCTGAGCAAAGCACCCTGTCCCCGAGCCGGCTTGCTCTGTGAGGTGGAAGACCCACCCCTGGGCTGCTAACGACCTGGAGGGCGGGCTCCTGGCCTCGAGGCCTCGGAAGCTGGTCACAGGCTCAGGAGCTCTATGGGCCCTAGGACGTCAGTGACTGGCTGGAGAAAGAGTCCGAACAGGGGCCCCTGGTGATGGCGCTGGAGGCAGGAGGCTCCGCCGTGGTCCGGGGCAACTGGCACAAGCACATCACAGTGCCGCTGCAGACAGGTAGAGCCGGGCACGAGGGGGCTGGAAGGGGAGCCCAACGGGACCGCTTAGCCCACGACTTCCCCGCCCACAGATCTGCGAAGGTTCCGGTCCTATAAGGGGACCTCGGTGCGAGACCTGCTCCGCGCCATGAGGAACAAGGTGCGCCTGGGGCTCGGGTGGGCGTGCTCTTGGGAAGGCTTGGTCCCTGCTCCCGCTGAGCCAGGGCCCTGCTCTAACCCTGCAGAAGCACCACTACAGGGAGCTCCCGGGTGAGGTCCGGCAGGCGCTGGGCCAGGTCCCCGACAGCTTTGTCCAGTACTTCACAGACCGCTTCCCGCGGCTGCTGCTCCACACGCACCAGGCCATGAGGAGCTGCGCCCCCGAGAGCCTCTTCCTGCCCTACTACCCGCCGGCCCCAGGGGCCAGGGAGCCACGCGCAGGAGCTGCTGGGAGGGGAGGCCGGCCGGCTGAGGAGCCAGGCCTGGGCTGAGGCTGGCCTCACACGGGAAAATTCCTGCAGCGGGCTGGAAGCCCGGGGGTAGATGTTGGAGCAAAGATATGCCGCGCGCCCAGGTGCCAGACACCCCTCGGAATACAAGAAGAAAAAGGTTCTCATGTGTTTAATGTGTATAAAGGCGGGGAAAGGACAGTCCTGTATCCAACAGCAACATTCTGTACATACAGTGCGGGTGAGAGGGAAGGGAGGGGCCATAGAACCCACACGCAAACATGTACAAAAATAACTTACACAGCAGCCCCATCTGTGGGCTGGGGCACACTATAAAAACCAGGGCCAGGGGAGCTGACCAGAACGGGCCAAGGCGCTGGTGGGGGTCACGGAGGCACCAGTCCCAAGGGGCGGGCCTACGAGGAGGCCTTGAGGCGGTTGGTGGCTGAGCGCGAGCTCAGCAGCTTGTCCACCATGGTGCGGGCGTATCGGAGCCGGCTGGCCAGCTCCTTGGAGCAGCCAAACTCCTCCAGGAGGCTCAGGCGGTACGTGCGGAAGTCCCGCTTCTCGTTGATGTAAGTCACGGCGGCCATCAGCGGGCACAGGATGAGTTTAGTGTGGTCCTAGGAGGGGAGGAGGAGGGACAGGTGGTGACCAGTGAATTGAAGGTCCAGCTGTGTATGTGGGGGGAGCAGAAGGAAGACAGCCCAGCTGGTTGGGGGCCCTCACCCCACTCCCTTCCTGCTGCCAAGGGCAGTTCCCACACCTCCCACTCCCCGCCCAACCCAAGCCCCCGGAAGGCACAGCCCCCACGCCCACTCCGCGGCCCCGCTCACCTGGAAGAAGTTGATCTGCACACAGCCATTGCTGAGGTGCAGGATGATGGCACTGCGGGTGCGGAACCAGGTGCGCAGGTAGGGCAGCCGGGCCAGCTCATCACCTTCCCGTGGTGTGATATTGGCCCCTGCCTTCAGCAAGTGCTCGCTCATGTAGTTCCGGAAATACTTAAGGAGGGTGATCTAGGGGAGTCAGAAGTCCAGAGTTGGAGCTCCATTCCGGCCCATCTCCCTCCCGGCAGCACGGGCCACGCGGGCCAGCCAGCACCCACCTTCTTGGTCAAGGAGTTGGGATGGGAATTCACGGTGAGGTAGGACTCTGTGCCGTCGCGCTCTATGTACTGCAGGCTGTCACCGTCGTTGTAGAGGATAAGGCGAGTCGAGTCATTGAAGAGCACCCCCACGCTGTTGTCACACAGTTGGTATCCTAGTGGTATGGGGGGAGACCTCAGAAAGGGGGCAGGGAGCAGGGGGAGCTGGCACTGGAGGTCTGGGATGGAGCTAGGAGAGCTGGGAGAGGACCTAGCGGCCAAAAAAGGCAAGAGGCCGGAACAGGCCAAAGGGTCACAGGCCGCCAGGTTGCCATGTATCCTCACCCACCCGTTCTGGAAGAACCTACCAAGGCCGTACTTGTCCGAGTAGTCCACCCACTTGCTGACCCAGAAGATGGGGATGCAGGCGGGATCCTCGGCCTCCTCTGGACGGAAACAGACATGATTGGTCAGACCAGGCTCTTACCCTCAGTGAGCAGAACCCAGCCTCAGGAGCTTGCACTCCAGCCACAGGGACGGAGACGGACCAAAACAAGTATGAACAGAATGTTTGTTGCTTCCATCATCGTGAGTCAGTGGCTTGCAGATTCTCTAACTTTCTAGTTTTGAGTGATTCAAATATTGTGAGAAGACAATTCCAAATACATCCAAGTGTTATACACAGTGACCGCAATAACCCTTCTCTAATACAGAAATTCCATATGAAAGCTTTAGAGTCTGTGGGATGAGAGGTGCTATAGATCATAGAAAGCAGGCACAGGGGATGCCCAGTGCTAGGAGTGGTGCCAGGAAATGCTCGTGAGGGGCCACCAGAGCAGACATCTGAGAAACACGAGTGTGTGAGCCATGCAGAGCTGCAGGAAGAACATTCCGGAAGGGACAGTGTGCGCAAAGCTCTGAGGCTGGAGCACGTCCTGGTCTGTTATTTCAACCATCTCCAAGGCCAACCAGGAATTCACTGAACAGAAGAAACCGCGGACAGGTACCCAGGCCGCAGTGAGGTACTGGGAGATGGGAGGCAGAACCAGGAGTCAGAAAGGAAGGGCCAGACCATGGAGGGCCTTGGGCATCCGGCTAACTCATCGGGACTTTAATCCACAGGAAATGGGGAACTGGACAGAATATGAGGACGGGCCTGGCCAAGGCCCACACGTTGCGGGCTGAGACTCCCTGGTCTCTCGCGATGCCTGGAGCAGCCTTGCCCCCCGGCGGCTGCAGTGCCCACCTTGCCTGACCAGCCCCCGCTCCGAGGGCTTGGAGGCGTTGACGCTGTGCAGCTGCTGCAGCATATCCCCAAGGTGGCAGTCGGCCGCCTCGTTGGTCTCCCGGACCACGGGCTCCTCTTTCTCTCGGGGCCGCTCAGGCATGGGGTTCTCCGTACCTAGGAGATGAGACGTGGTCATTAGCTGGCACCAAGCAGCAGGCTGGGAGGGTACGGGACCCTGTGCCCAAGCTGGTACTCTCTCCCCAGAGAAAATCCCTCTTAGCTGCTATTGCTTGCTTTGGGTGAACCTAGTCAGTGTCAGGCTCTTAGAGCTCAGGCTCTCACAGGCACCTGGTGCTCACTAGTACCTCCAGCACCAGGCAAGCCCTTGAGGAAGGACCCACAGCCAGACAGAGTCAGACACTCAGAATGACAAGTACCTTCAGCATCCAGGCAAATGGGAGGGTCAGTAAATGGCAGACTGGCAGGATGAATTGAGCAGGCACTTAACAAGAATGTAAGCGACTGCCCACCCTAACATGTGCTTTATCTACTTCTATGCCCAACAGCCTGGGAAGACCCACACTGAGATGGGACACTGGTCACATCTGAGGGGTGGGAGCATGGTTTTGTCTTAAGCTTCTCTGTTTAACCCTTTTCCCACCATCATATGCTTATTCCCTTCCTGAAATATGAAACCCTTCTTTACAACATTTGCAAATCAGAGTTTTCCATTTTAAAAACGATGCTGTGGTAAAGATTTAAGTGTGAAATATTTCAGATTTGCCTTTAAAACTCTAGCCAAGCCGAAACCGGTTTGGCTCAGCGGATGGAGCGTCGGCCTGTGGACTGAAAGGTCCCAGGTTTGATTCCGGTCGAGGGCATGTACCTTGGTTGCGGGCACATCCCCAGTGGGAGATGTGCAGAAAGCAGCTGATCGATGTCTCTCTCTCATTAATGTTCTAACTATCTCTCTCCCTTCCTCTCTGTAAAAAAATCAATAAAATATATTTAAAAAAAATAAAATAAAAATAAAACTCTAGCCAAAAAAAGGAGGAGGATGTGGAATAAATATAGGCAAATGTAACTGACTTTTGAAAATGGATGATGTAATACATGGGGGTTCATCATACAATTCTCTCTACTTTTAAAAAATATATATTTATTTATTTCAGAGAGAAAGGAAGAGGGAGAGAGAGAGAGAGAGAGAGAGAGAAACATCAGTGATGAGAGAGAATCATTGATAGGCTGCCTTCTGCAAGCCCCCCACTGGGGATCAAGCCCACAACCTGGGCATGTGCTCTTGACCGGTATTGAACCTGGGACCTTTCAGTTCGCAGGCCGATGTTAGCGCCAAACCAGTTAGGGCCAGTTCTCTCTACCTGTGGGTAAGTTTGAAAATTTCCAGCATAAGAAGTTTTTACAAAATGTTTTGTGTCCAAAAATTAAAGGCAAAAGATAAAAAAAAGCAATCCCTAGCCCTGACCGGTTTGGCTCAGTGGAGCGTCGGCCTGCGGACTGAGGGGTCCCAGGTTCGATGCTGGTCAGGGGCATGTGCCTTGGTTGTGGGCACATCTCCAGTGGGGGGTGTGCAGGAGGCAGCTGATCGATGTTTCTAACTCTCTATCCCTCTCCCTTCCTCTCAGTGAAAAAATCAATAAAATACATTTTTTTAAAAAAGCAATCCTTAAATAACACTATTACATGATAGCCCAAAGAATAAATGCCCATGAGTCCAGACTGACATAACTGAATAAATAAATACATGGGAGAGAAGCACCAGCTCCTCCTTACAGAAGTATTCCCATGAATGAATGTGCCCAGAGCCAGGAGAGAACCATGGTAACAGCTGCCACAGGCAAGAGCCACCAGGAGTGCTAGCGTCAGTGGGCGGAGCCCAGGAGCAACAGTCTCAGGGAAGCCCTGGCAGGTGCGTTTAATCATCAGAGAAAACAGTGCTGCTGCAGAGAAGCCCTTTAGACCCACCAAGACCAAGTGATCAAGACCGACATCTGCCCTGGCCCGCGGGGCTCAGTGGTTGAGTGTTGACCCATGAACCAGGAGGCCACAGTTCGGTTCTGGTCAGGGCATATGCCCAGGTTGCCAGCTTGGTCCCCAGTAGGGGGCATGCAGGAGGCAGCTGGTCAATGTTTCTATCTCTCTAAAAAATCAATAAAAACATTTAAAAAAAGAAGAAGAAAGACTGATATCACCAGTAAAAGAAATGTCAAAAAATTAACCCCAAGAGAAAAATAGATAATCCTTAAAATAACAGTATTAGGTTATAACCGAAACAAATGAACTTATACATTAAATTGGCATATATTAAATTGATGCTATATCCACACAGAGAAGAAAAGTGTTTCAAGTGATCTTTTTTTCACACTATATTATCTTTTT